AAGCTCATCACCATCATCAATCCCGCTACCACCTCAACCAACAAGCTTCCCGTCCTTTTCCTCCCTCCCGCTGACGTCGCCCTCACTACCGCTCCACATCAAAATCCACTCCTCTCCTCCCATCACGGCTTCGAAATCAGTTTTCATCGGCCACGCGTGCAGAGTAACAAACCCAATGGAAGTTCCGCTTGTGATACATCACTTGTTGAGCGATAAGAAAATTGCAAAAGCCGCACATCCAGTCATTCACGCGTATCGGATCGTAAAGGACCAGGAAGATATCGGGAAGCCGGGACAGCAGGTTATTGTAGCTGGTAAGTGCTGATTCGAATGGGAGTGTTTGATATATGACACCTGACATCTGGAACAGATAATGACGATGATGGGGAGACTGCCGCGGGTGGACGACTGGCGCATCTACTGCAGATTCTGGTAAGTCTGAAACACGGAACAGAAGGCAGCGCGTTTGACTGATAGCCGGCTTGCATTGTCCGTTCAGGAACTCGAAAGTGGGTATTCTCGGTAACTTTTATTGCTGCTGGGATGAGGTTACTCATCAACGCCTTTTCGCTGTGTATCGTCTATACTTTGTTGCCGTACAAACAGACGTACTGGTCGTCGTCTCGCGTTGGGTAAGCTTCGGCGTGCCGTTGCCACCTGACCACGAGCTGACAATTAACATTCCTGCTTCTGCGCGTCTGCCTCTTGTCAGTTTGGAGGGTAAGAGCCTATCCGCCTTAGAATCTTGATAGCCCCGCTGATCTTCCTCTTCTTTAACAGACAACTGCTCGGCCCAGAACGATTCAAGCTCATCAATCAAGCTGCTCGAGATGCACTAGAAATCGGAGGCTTCTTGCCAGATAAAGCGGATGATGCGGGCACCACCGGGTCGGGAAAGGACAAGAATAGAAGAGGTCGAAAGTGAGAACACAGAGGTTGTGGGTTCTTTGTGAGGTGCTGGACTGCGGTGTGGAGCACAGACGTTCCTGGGCCTTCATTAGAGCTAGAAGCGCTGGTCGCACAATGCGGAATCTACGGGAAATCAGTACATCGGAAAAATGTTGTGGCTTGACATGCTACCATATAATGTCATTCTTTTCGGAAATCTGCGATGAGCTACGGATTGACGATGGCAGCTTCGATGCGCGATGGCAAAGTCAATGTTCTTATCAAAATGTGCTCGGATTCAACGGTCTCCAGATCACGATGCGAGTACGAGATATGACATGTCAAATTTGCTCTTGTGGAAACCTGTCTTTCGAGAGACCATCTTCCGGTCTCGATTTTGACCATCTCGAGCGCAATATGCTTTCGATAGGAGTAACGTAGTTGTATGCTAGCTTGTACGCTAGAAGAGGCAAATCTTGCACGATTCCACCAGGGCCTGTGGGAATGAACTGATAGTGTGACGTTAGGAAGCAAGGCAGTGATGGGAGAAACGGACCACCGCCAACGATAACCTTATATGAGGAAAGTCCTTTTTGGCTTCGAAGTTGTATTGAGCTCTAATCAATTTCTTTTATTCATATGGTGGTATTTAACGCATTGCGAACTAAGTAGCCCCTTTTCGATCTCGAAGAGACATGACCGCGGACGTAGCCCTCACATTTTCGCTCTAATTCACAGCGACATCTTCTTAGGAACTACCTCGATCCAGTAGTTGTCTTCATCCAGGATGAAAGCAATGTGCCTCATCTTGCCGTCCGAAGGCCTCTTCTTAAATCGTACGCCCATTTGCTCGAATCGCTCGCAAGTCTTCTCGACATCGTCGACGGAGCTGTGCTCGTGAGAAAAGGCAATAACGTATTGTTTAGCGACAAATACGCTGAAATCGGATGTTCGAAGTAGGGAGGAGAACTTTACATGGCGATATGACCGAAACCTCGTCCTGGATCCTCGTTACCGTTCGCGTATCCCTTGAAGTTGGGGTCATCCTCGGTTCCGTGGTTGTGAGTGAGTTCGAGGATACCTTCCCTGTTGAATCGGCCCTTTGCTTTTTCCTCCGCAGACAAGTTCTCGTCACCCTTTTGAGGGAAGGCCAAAAAGTACAAGGTCTATCGATGAAAATCGGGGCAAGAAGGATAAGATACCCAGATTGAAGAGAGGGGGATGGAGTGGCTACGTACAAAGTCACCACCCGAGTGTTGATCGAGCAGTTCCATACCGATGATTTCTTGGTAGAATTTCAGCGACTTCTTCGGATCCTTGATCCTCAACATTGTGTGGTTGAACTGAGAGTGAACAGAGAGGGAGGTCAGCCAAGAACGCAAAGGTTACCCATTAGAGGGAGAGACACGAGGTCCTGGAAATCTAGCTGAAACCCTAACACTCACGCTAAAGCTTTCTGTTCCTTGAACGCGGGACATGATGGGAGAAGCAGTAAAGTAACGTTTGGCTGTGGTGGTCCTAGTGATGGGGTGAGCACTCAGTGTTCGAAATGTCGTCTTCAACATGTGGAATCTGAACAGATGAAGCAAGGGTATGGACAAGGGATGTGGGAGGAGCTCCATGTCCGAGTCGAGAAAGCCGGCATATGGCATCGAGCCGGTCGGTTCCCTGAATTCTGTGCATACGTCATCTCAAGCAGCTCTCAAGCAGAACAAGAAAATATTGGATTATGGTTGTGGCTCAAGGGCTATTTTGAGCCAAAGGCGGTTCGGATGAAGGCTCGAGCTTGAAACATAGATCGTATTTCTCATCCTCGCTCTCTGATTAAAAGCTAGAGCAGAGCCAGTCACCACAACAGTTCCTTCTGCGTCCTATACCTAACGGACTAGTGACATGATGCCTTCGTTTTTCACCTTTCCCTCGGCAGTGAGCTGTCCTCAGCGATTGCTCAGCATCGTCATTGATCAGGTAACAAGCAAGAACCGCGAGCAGAATATTCTCTGAGTCGGCAAAGAGGCAAGGGATGGCTGAGTAGCCCAGCTGGTCTACCAACAAAAGGTATGTGCATCGGATCATTACATATGGATCAACCCGAAACAAAGATATGTATCTTATGGTACAATCGGCTAACGTTCCGTAGGAAACTATAAAACGTACCGTAATCAAATAAGACGTTGTCTATACATTGATGTTACCCAACTTTGGAGAGCCCGATTCCATTTCCCACGCGCTCTTAGTGAAGAGCACGGGTTGAACTTGAACGTTCGGAAAAGGTTCTTTAGTAGAGGGTGAAATGGAGGAATGGGAGGGTTAGGGTAGAAGGAAAGGGGAGGAAAGGAGAAGAAAAGAAACGAAATACCGGGTGACATGATGAGACATGAAGCCTCATCATTTTGATTACCAGTAAAATGGGAAAATGCCATACAACGAATACTCCAGAAGCGGTTTCATTTTTGTGTTGATATTGATACAGTGATGCGATACTAGCAGTCTACTCTGCTCGCTGCTGATTATGGAACTGTAGGAGGAAAGGGGTAAGAGATTGTCGGTATCAGAGACGAGAGGACGTGAACGTACGATATCTCTAAGTTGCCCCTGCGCGTCATTCAGCTGCTTCTCCAGATACTTTGCCTATACAGATAATGCATCAGTCATTGTTGGTGGTTGGACAATGTAGTTAAAGTATACCAACCTTTTTCGTCAAGCTGCCAAGATCCTCTGTGATGCCCTTTTGTTGCGCTGCATGCTCGGCAGAGATGGATTCCCTCGGTTGCATGATAAACCTAAACGCGCCGACACGACAATCAGCACCAATTCGCGCACAGAAATGGATCGCTGCTTGGAACTCACGCCTTGCCAACCCCTTTGTACATCTTTACCTGCTCATCTCGAGGAATCGCATTCAACTGCTGCGTTGTCAACTCGAGAATCTTCTTCTCTCGGTTCTTGCTTGTTATTTGAGCATTGACGATACTAAGGGATCTTTGAGAGGCCACAGCCTGTAGAGGGGGAAGCGAAAAACGTTTAGCGGGTCTGGCAGTTGCGTTTGGGTAAAGAATGATGACGAACCTGCTGTTGGATCTGTTCTAGAATCTAAGGACCGGGCATGAGATGAGCGAATGACAACATCGAGCTGAAAGATATATGCGACTTACCCTACGCAGCGTGTCATCGGAGAGGTTGGACATGGTGAGCGGTCGGGAAACTTTGGTTCTGGTGCTTGGTTTATATGTAAACAACGGAAACGTCGAAAGAAGAATGGACGAGAGCAGACAGGACGTTGATCGCGACTAAAGCGCGTTCCTCGCTGCGCGCTACATTAGCCACATGTATTACGTGTCAAAAGCGCGACCTTGTTGCCTACCTTGTCTGGTTTCTCGTTGTCTGAAGTTTTACTCTTCCGCATAGTTTTATGATCGTACAAATTACACGGCACGCCGGTGACAGGCAGCCTGTAGGATGCCCATCCGTCCTTATGAATAGCCTTTCTACTGGTGATTCGCGAAGTAGTTCGTCTGCAAGCTGAGCTATAACAAACTCAATCGCACATCTTTCACTCAACAGATGCCTTGATAAACCGAGATTCACTTGTCAAATTGCCGTCTCTTGACAGTCTTAAAGACAGAACGTGTTGGTAGTATGCCTGGAAGGGTCTTTGGCGGCAGGCTCGAGCACCATCTGAGCATTGCCAGCGCAGATATCGACTTTTCATGTGGAGCCCGCTTCCATCGTCTCAAGACAGCGATAGAAAGCTTTACATCGCCAGTTCACTGCGTCTACAGCTGTCGAGCGCCCATCGGAATCTTCAACCATTACTAGTATTGCACGGGCTACGGAACGAGGGCCCGTTCTGAATTGAAGGCTTCAGGAAAGACTCGAGGCTCAGACGACGTAATTTGCCACCGGAATCGGTATCCGACGGCTTGCGATGCGGCAGTGACTATTTATACCTATTACAATGTAGCAAAACAGCAACTAGCAGTCCTTTGATTACCATCATGGCTACAGGATCTACCGGGAAATATCAAGCCGGTCCCTCATGGAAGAAGGAACAAAAACGTATCATTGCAAAACTCCTTCATTTCCTCTCTGAACAAAGCCGCAAAAAGAGAAGTTCCAGGCCTGGATTGAACAGGCGACCTGCGGATGGTTATTCTGTGTTAGAATTGCAATCCGACGCACAACCACCGTGCTCCTGGAACGTTCGATGTTACTTTTTCTCTGCAAGAATCAGAATGCCAAATTAGCCTCCAGAGGAATTGGGAGAGCTTGGGGTTTTCATTGTGGTTGAGACCTGCTGTTGCTGCTCGCATACCATGCTAACGCCTGCGTCGCACTAACGTTGCCTGCAACCAGAATCAAGCTAAGAGCCGATTAGATGACTAGAGGTTGATACGGCTGCAAGAGGAGTCACCAAGTCTTGTGTTTTCATGTCGAAAATGTAGCATTCCTTAGGTCCTCGGTGGATGTCCATCAGCTCTGTGCAAAGAAGTCCAAGTGCAGGACCCAAGGGTAAAGTATCGCACTTGAGTTTGGTTGATGCAGGGAGCTTGTGTGGCCAGCGGGCAATGGATAACAAGTCGAATTTGAGGTCAAGTACGGGGTATGTCATATACAAATTGTGAAGAGCCTCGAGCTCTCTTATACATGTTTCTCGTCTCATACTGGAGATCTCTTCCTCAGGGTGATGCAGACCCTCGACTGACGACTGACGTAATAAACTGGCATAAGCAGTGTCAGAATAGGGTTGAAGCTGATGGACGGTATAGAGAGGAAAGGGAGGCGGGTGTGAGGTAGAAGCCGAGGCAGAGTTAGGCGCGAATGTAAAGTGCGCCCGCGACAAAACCTTACGACTTACGAGTTTAAGAAAGGAGTTGTTCAAGGCAGCTTCAAGGCACTGGGAGACATTTTATGACTGGTGATAGAAACGTCAACTCGTGTTGTCGACAGCGTCCAGGGTGCTTTCCCAGTCAGGCTTGAGCCAAGTTCATCAACGGGGTCTGTCAGCTTTACATCCACGTCGTGTGCGGGTGCATCGTCCGCTCATCTTCCAGCCCCTCTAGGGTGGTCTCCCGACATATACACGATGTTGCGAAGTCAGTACCATTTTGCCTGTTTCAGTCTGCTTGATAGCTGATTCAACACCCTTTCCTCCCTGCCCCCAGACAAGACCGGGAAAAAGTTTGCCGTCTCTCGACCCGTGAAGCCTGGAGTCTCTTCCAGCGCAGTAGCTCCGACACCTCCTTCTACCCAAACACAAGCAGTAGACTCGCAGTCGACCGATATCAGTCATGCTTCTTCATCCGCTCCTTTGACGTTCCAACCAGGACCGCAGGTAGCCCTTCCACCTACTCCGGACGCCACTCAACAACATGTCATTCAGTCTGATACGCCTGCTCAGCCCTCTGCTCCTTCGTTGTCTTCGCCTTCCCAGACTCAACGGCCATTGTTCTTCCCTGAACCGACTCCGCCTCCGACAGCTGATGTACAGATACAGCCAAAGACGACGCAAACTATCAACCATATATCAGTAAAATCTGCTTCTACGTCGGCTCCGACGTCAAACGTTTTTGCTTTCCCACTCGCACCGCAGATGCCTAATCCGTTTTTGCATCCTCAAGTACCGCCACCGATTCCTTCATCCAGTCTCGCACCTCCCACATCGTTCGCACCGGTACCTACATCATTCGTCCCGCCTTCATCTGTCTCGGCACACAGCCGACCAATTACGCAGCCGAACAACGAGGCGGATAACGCGGGAAAGGAAGCTGAAAAGGAAAAACGAAGAATCAAGCGACGACAGAAGCAAGGCCAAGAAGGATCCGGTAGAGCGTACCGCACTGCGGACGGGGAGGCTCCTCCTGGAGGGAAGCGTAAACGTGGTGGAGCGGGAAAACGGACAGGGGTGGACGGCTCGGTTGCAGGAGATGATGAGGATCCCGAGGCGCAACTCATGAGGGAAGAAGCCGAAGGTCAACGATCTGCCCAAAGAGATAGATCGCAAGATGAGACACCGGGACAGGGAACCGACGATGAGGAGGAAGAGGACGACGCGGAGATGAACAGTCAGCATGGCAAACGTCGACGCGGACGTCAAAGGAAAACAGCCAACGACGATATCGATCTCGACGGCGTAGTCCCAGGGGACGCTCTTGGACCCGCCATCGATTCAAACAGCATGACCATGGGTGAAATTGCAGCGCATCCTGGATTCGGTAGAGTTAGTTCTCGAGGACTGGAACTTCAGCAGAGGAAGATCGAGTTGGCAAAGGAGAAGCGGGACAAGCTTTTACGTCGAAAGAGTGGTAGGGAGGGTACTGCGGATGGACCAGATCCCGAAAATGGACACGACGACGGAGCCGAAGGTGTAGGAAGGAACGCAGAATCTGAATATGACCGTGCGCTGAAGGCGCACGACCGTGTGCAAAAAGAGGACATGGCCAAAGCGGCAAAGAACAGACTGAGGGGTGAAGAGGACGACACCGATCTCGAAAAGGGCGACGGAGACGGCGAGGATAAGGATGACGAGATCAATGAAACCGACCAGTTCAACGAGCGCCGGAATGCCGCCGCCGTCACATTGGACGCGAACGGCAACTTCATCGTCGATGACAGCTCCTTACAGATCGAATCCGGTCAGGCGATGAATGACTTCGATATGGGCGATATGGAAGTTATCGAAGAGCATGACAAGGATCGATTTATCAATGCGAGCAGTTATCAGCGAAAACCGAGGGGCACACGCTGGACGAGGGAAGAAACAGACTTGCTGTTTGAGGTACGCGTTCCCGGCTCTTCGTTCGCTTCGTGTTTTATATTGACCTTTTCTGCATTGTAGAAAACACGAGAATTCGGAACGTCGTTCGATATGATCTTGCACTTTTTCCCGGGCAAGACGCGAAGGCATGTTATCAATCAGTGGAACCGATTGTGCAAGAATAATGATCCTCGAGCGGACTGGGCGTACGATACAGCACACAAGAAAGCTATTGGTAAGCACGGTACCCGCTTGGCCGCGAAAAACTTGATGCTGATCACCTTACTTGATTAGATTTCTCTGGTCTAGAGCAAGCAGCCAACATGACCTTTTCCACGCGATCCATCGATGATATATTGAAGCAGCAAGAAGAAGAAATGCAAGCCGAAGTTGACAGACTTATCGGTGTCTACGATCAAGCGGATGAAGGTCAAGGTGGTAGACAGCACTCGCCTACGTCCTCCCGAGGAGCCGGTGGAAATGAAACAGATGGTGATGTACCGAGACCCAAGACGGCAGCGGAGCTTGCCCGACAAAAAGCAAAAGACAAGCGGGCGGCCAAAAAGGCGTGGAAAGATCAATTTGGGGGTGGTGAAGAGATTGTGGGGACTGTAGACGATTAATGTACGTTGTGCGAGATCGCCTTGCCTTGATTTGTTTTGGGACTATCCCTTGAATTGTTTCTCAGTTGTATTCGTGTTTGACGGGCTTGTATGCACACTCGCATATGCGTTTTAATATTTCACAATTTCTTGTCTGTCGACCCTTGTCTGGTCTTCGATCTGCTCAACTGCGAACGGAGAAGATGATCTACACAAACTAGCAAGGATCGTTAGCAAGGCTATAGGAGTTTGAGACTGGTCGAATGGCCAAAGGGGGGTAGAAAAGTTTGACTCCGACAGCGTCATCTAGGTCCGGCGCGGGTTGGAGGCTCAACTTAGGAGGCGACTCGTGATGCGTCTGGTCGAAAGAGTATATCCCTTGCCTTGATCGATCTAACCGTCTCACGCCCCATCAGTGCCTGAAGGCAGCCTTCCACGTACACCATCTGTTAATGATTGGCGGATAGTTGGCATACGTTAAAGACAGTCCCGTGAGTCATGCGACGTGAAGCTCGATCGGGGTTCTCAGCTTCTGATCGCTGTGCATAGCTCCTACCTTCCAGTGCGCATGCACAACGACCTTACGGTAACATGTAGGTCCAGCCCCTGGAGGTACTTCGACCTCTTACTGAACATCACCACGTCCGGACCTCAGGGCCTCCCAGGCCGTCGTCACGGTCGCACCTTTGGATGATGACTCGGCTAGGGCTTTCTCGAGCAAAACGGTACCCTTCGGTCGGAGAGCGGACGAGGCGGGACTAGATATCCCCAGGATCGATACACGTGCACTAGACAGTCTCAAGCGACTTTCGCACGAAACTCAGAGGCGGATGTTCACCACGAAATCCTATGATGCCCATTTCAACCATGAACACCTTCGGTTTCTAGGTGAAGCTGCATGTTGCATTATGTATGTCCGTCACCCACCTAATTCAGGAGAGGCATCACGAGTTGGATCGAGGGTACAAAAACGTAAGTGCGGCTCGTTGCTCCGCTTTCTCCGATACTAATCCCATATGAGCGTGAAACACTTCGGACGCGGGTTTACAATCTCGAATGCCTCTCTCGAGTGACCATTGGACTGAACGTCCAACATCGTATCCGTATTCACAAAGGTTCCAAGGCATCTCAGACTGTTCTTAAGCATGTGGTCGAGACGACGGCGGGTGCCATTCTGGAAGAACTCGGTTATACGAAGCTCTATGCTTGGACGGAAATGCTGCTTGGCCCTGTAATTGAGTATTTCAAGCGATCAGTCAAAGGCAAGTGTTTCCAACAGCTCATTGGCTATTTCGTTAACCTCCAGTCTTGTCTGAACAGAGTAAGTCGAAGTTGCTGAAAAGGATCCTTTGGTTCGCATCGACTTCGGTTCCCATCCCGAGACCCGACCAAAGCATTCGAGAGCAGACTTTTCTGCATATTGCATGACGAAGAACTTTGCTATAAAGTACGTGACGGTAACGAGCAGGAAAATGAACAGTTTGCAAATGCTCAAATGCAATGGATTGGAGCGGTGACTATGGACGGGGAGTATATCACAGAAGGCCCTGGAACCAGCCGCAAGAAAGGCCAAGCCGCAGATGCGGAAGCCTTGATACGTAGCGGATCATTGCCGGATTTTGCAGAGTTCAAGTAAGTCGGGTGGGCTTTTTGACATCTAGCGTCTTTCATGAATGCGTCGATGCGCACCCTCTTCCGCGTACTAGTCAAGTTCATCAAGAAAAGCTCGCTCAACTTGAACAAACAAGTACTACTTCGGTAGTCACGACTGAGCCGTACATTCCTCGACAGGGCGGCAGACGAATAGGCAGAGAATGTCATTGCGAAATTCAAGGTGTACATT